TGTTGGGGGGTACCCCTCGGTCTCATTTCTTGCTGGGTATAAAATCCTAAGGGACTAACACGGTACACCCTGCCCACCTCAACCCTAAAAGATGCGGGCTATTTTCAGCTGGGGGCGGATTGGAAGTAAAAAGTTTTACAGACAGAGATGTGTAACAAGTACGTGTATGTGTTGACATGTGCCCGTGTATAATGTGGCAATGACCGATAAGTGAATATCAAGGAGGAGAACTACACAACAGATGACATTTCATTTGCCATAACAGATGTTCCTGTGTCAAAACTCAGCGATGTTATCAAATTTATATTACCCAGTGTCTATAACTGAAACAAGATGCTCTCCTTTCAATATTGGATTTCTAGATGCACATATGGTACAGGCTAATTGGGTTATTCTGGCGTGGTGCAAAGTGCTTTAATTACAAGTACATCTTCCAGCAGGTTAGGTCATTCAGAAGTTATTGTAGGCAATTTCATATTATGGAATAAAGCGTCAATAACAGTTGCTCAAACTGAGATAAAGGTAGTAAATTTCTTGTTTGTTTTGTTGTATTTGTTCTTCTCTCAGCGGATGGCAAGTACATACTGTACATTTCTGCCAGCATTTCCATGTATTTCTCGATATCACTGATTAATCTCTAAGCTCTCCGTTTCAGCTGATGAGTTCAGCTGAATAGTTTTACAATAGCACGCCTCCACGAGTTTGCAATGCGCTTGCCAATCACAATGCGCGAAATCTGTCGACCCTTTCCAAACGCGCGTGAGGTGCGCTAATGTGAATTGTCCATATTTGACCGTGCCTTTTTAACTGTTCTGCAGTTGTGGCGATGGAACACGTGACGGGCGCAGTGGTACCTTTTATGAAGACCGTCAACATTGCTTTATTCTGTGCGAGCTGGCAAAAAGAGACCGTGGCTCGTTACCAAGGCAACAAGGAGTATGCATATCTCTTTACAATGTTGATGTTCCTGGGCTGCATTGTTTGTCATCGTAACCGTCGACAATTTCGATAGTAAGGGTAGAGGACGTCAAAGGTTTGCAGCCTGGTATTAGTTCTTGTCGTGTAAGTTTATGAATTATTGGGCATGTCGACTGAATGAATTTGATAAACATATTATTTCCGCAACGTCTACAAGCATCGTATTTGATCAACATCCAGAAATTTTCAAGGCAGCGAAATATACACATACTTGCTTAGTGTCTGTTAACGTGCACGTGGCACTCAACGCATGTTTTCTTTTAATCATTGTGGAAACACCCGACATTCTAATCACATCAAACAAGCCTCAAGCTTTATAAAGAGCTTTAAACAGGCGTTTTTAAGCGCTATTCAGAATTTGAATAAGTTTGCCTTTAGTGAGTCTTAAACGTGTCTATTGTGCCCGCTAGTACAGTAATCAAAACGGGTGTTGGTGTGCGAGGCCTTGAGCAAGATGTAAATGAGAAGTGGAAAGAGATCGGAGGCTGATGGGTGAAGTTGAGGCTTTTGGCCTAATGAAACCCTCAGAGATGCTGGTGCTAATCCATTTCTGATTTTATAAGCGAAAAGAAGAATTTTGAACTGAATATGCTGACGGATGGCTGGCCAGTGCAAAGACTGCGGTATGGGTGCAATATGGTCACTGCGCTTTGCTCTGACAACGCTGAAGAGATGCTATGCGATGAGTGTTGGGTAAAGCGAACAGTACACTGTTGCAGTAGTCTAAGTGGGGTGTCACAAAGGCGTGGACAAGACGTTGGGTGGAATTCTGGTCAAGGTAATTTCGGAGTTTCCCAGGTTCGTCATGCAATCCGTATGATACTGCTCGAGAAGTGTTGCGGGTGTGTTGATCCAAATGCAAACGGGCATTGAGAATTACCCCCGATATTTATTAGTGGTAAGTTCTTGGGCTTCCGAAATCATGTCGTTACGTGAAGGACCTCAGTTTTCGAACAATTAAACTTGAGTATGTTAGCGGCAGCCCATGACTGAACATTCTTGACGCACTCCTGCAGAGAACCGACGGCAATTTTTCAGAAAATGTTATCTTGCCATATCCGAGATTTTTCCCACAACATTACTATTTTTTCATCCCGTATGTTTTTCTAAATTACTCTTTTCAAATTCATTTTAAGATGACATCGAATATTTCTTCCATAATGTTGTTATTTTTGATTTTGATACATGGAAATTGTTCAAGCTCAAAATGAGAAATTCCTGTAACTCACAGCACGTTTTTGCCGAAACTTTAAACCTCACGTTGATTAAGTCAAACGTCAGAGATTTGGCGCAAATAAATGGCTTCCTTGTCCATGCTATCTGATGAAGCAACTAAAAAAATCCTTAAAATGTTCAGTCCATGTCTGCATGTTATGATAAACTAGTATTTGTGGTTTTGTGTAGAAAAGTGCAGTGTTGAGCAGATGCCGGGAAAAGCGAATCAGTGATGCCAAGAAAAGTTTGCACTGTCTTTTATATTTTTAAAATACTATATTTAGTATAATATATTTATAAAATACCTGGCTATCCAGACCCAGTGTGATGAGCATGAAGAAAAACAGAACCGACCAGAAAGGAGCAGCCGGCATTCTGGCTACTGCCTCTGGGTAGGCGACAAACGCCAGGCCAAACCCTGTAAAACCAACATAAACAAATGGACAGACATGGGTGAAGTGACGCAGGGGGAAAAATATTGAACCTCTACTCAAAAAACAGCAGACTTGGAGAGTGTCTGAGGAAGAAATTGTTTTTGAGCAAGATGATCACATTTCATATTTCTTTTCCTGAAACGACAAAAGCAACTCAATTATATTTCCAGGATTCGGATACCTTGCCTGGCAACCTCGGAGACGTCTTTACCCTGGACGTGGGCCATGTACCCCAGCATGGAGAAGATGACAAATCCTGCCAAGATACTGGTGGCCGAGTTAAGAATGGTGACAATCATCGTATCCCTGCAGCAGGAACACAAGACAGACCAATCATACTTCTGCTTTCCCATGGGCGTCATTCAGTGGTGTGTGTGGGGGGCATGTCATATTGCCCCCCTTTTCTTCTAGACCCTAAATAAAAATGTAGGGGGAGTTGGCCTTAATTCATATGTCAATGATTTGTTACATCTTTCATGTATTCCCCGAGAAGAAAGTGGGAACGAACAAAATGGTTCCAAATTTTCATAAAACAAGTAACAAGTACTTTCAAAATTGCATAACATTTTGCGACCTGTACGTGTTGTTATGGAACTTGTTGTAAGACGCCAGTGTATGTAAACCACCAGCGGAGACGCTCAGCGAATAGAAGATCTGCACCACTGCATCCAACCAGACCTGAGCAGAAAAAAAAATTAAAGCAGTTGTATGTTTATCTTCTTTGTGGTCAACCTCTGCATCCGGGTCTTGCATATCAAAGCGGGGGGGGGGGTGTTGTCTAACATACGGTGTCCGAAGTGTTTCACCAAAAAACTATAAAAGGAAGTTGTAGGCCTATACTGTTTCTGAATTTCTGGCACTTAAAACCTATGGAACCTTAAATATCTTTGGGTAAACGTGCCCCCTCTCACTTCGGTTGCCGCCCTGGATATCAGTGGTATGTCACCCCCCCCGTATGCCTTCGCCTCAGAAATTTAACGAGAGAAGAACAATTTGTGGGGACAGTCCGCATTGGCCAGTATTTTGAGTGCCCTCCTTCAGAAACAAGCGCCCCCCCCCGTTTGCACCATGCAGAATACCCCCCGCTGATGCCACAGAATTAACACCTTGTGCTTCTTTCTGCAACCTCGGAGCTCCCCTCGATAAAAAGTGTTGATGGTTTTTGATGAAAAAGAATTTTCAGAACCAACTAGTAAACCTTTAGGTTAATGTGAATGGGGAAAAAATTGGCGAATCCTCCCCAGAGTTGTCCATAATACGGGCGATTCACAATAGTGCGCCACCAAGAGTTTGCAAGGCGTTGGCCAATCATAATGCGCGAAATTTGTCGACCCTTTCCAGACGCGCATCGGGTCGACAAATTTCGGGCATTGTGATTGGCCAACGCGTTGTAAGCTCTTGGTGGCGCACTATTGTGAAACGGCCGTATTACACACGCGAGCGCACACAGGCTTCGGCGCATTGAGTCGTTCACTCGTGAAGCGTGGGGTACACTAATTAACCTGGGTACTCTTATACACATACCAAGGCGACTATCACTGCTGACTGCGCCATTTGTCACCAACTGCAAATCCTTGCTATTGCATCGCACAGTTCCCTACAATCATATAGACCTTTTTTCCTAGTGACGTCGTGATCGTGCTGGACCCACGATGTGTTGTGATGGTAATCTACCCTTTGACAAAAACTAGTCAAACATGCAGTGTTTTAACATGGGCATGTACGTGGTTGAAGCTGCCCGTAGGAAAATATGCGATCACAGTGGCTAAGGCGGTCCACACGTGGTGGTATTGTTTACATTTTGTCACGTGGGTGAAAAAAGGTCTATAGAAATTGCTTCAATGCAGTGGGCCGACTACGGGGGAACGTGCCCCCTCCCCGTCGATGTCCGTTCCCCCTCCTGGGTGCCCCCATTTGAAATCTGTGAATAATATCAGTGGGCTGACTACGGGGGAGCGCAGCTGCAGAGGTGCCCACGGATATGTAGCCCTAGTTACGCCACTGCTTCAACCATCAATGTACAATCAATACGCAACAAAAAATATATATATATACCTTGGGCTTAACGAGGTACTCCCAGCGCGGGGTGATGAAGAAATAGACGCCTTGATCCGATCCTGGCAACGTCAGGCCACGAATCAACAGGATAATCAGTACCACGTAAGGGAAGGTAGCAGTGAAATAAACTACCTAGACAGACACGAGTATTAAAAAACAGAGTGAAAAGAACCTTCACATGTTATCAATTTGTTCAAAATGTTATATATAACGCTCCACATGCTCTCAGGATGAACAACATTAAGACTTCGAGCTCGAATTGTTGTTCCTAGATCTTTAGGAAACAGAACATTTTCCCTCTCATTAGTGAAAAAAGTTTGAGCTGACTGCTTGTCAAGACAATGTTTACCTTTCCCGCAGATTTAATGCCCTTCACTAGGCACAAGAATATGACCACGTAGGAAACTATCAGACAGAGTAGAAGCTGCCATACGATGGTTCCAGTCTCGTTCATGCTGGGCGATTCTTGTAAGACAGCCCTCCTAGAATATAACCATTCAGCAAAGATTGGATGTAAGAAAGCAAAGAAGAAACTAGACAATTTATTCATCAATGGCAGGGACTAAATTGTAATGCATGTTAAAGGATCTGTTAGATTTTGAATTATAGTGTTATCATTTTTCCTGCAAGACAAAGTCACAAGTTTATAGACAAAAGTTTTTTACCAAGCATTTTTGATATAAAATTTGTCATGGCACTGTACACTGTCTCTGACATCCTTTATTGATGATATAATCAATAGTGCTTCAATTTGTAAAACATGTCTCGCCTTCCTACCGAATTTATTATAATATGCTCATATTTCTAAGCATAAAAGCTCAAGTATGATGGAAAAAACAGATTTGCCAACATTGCACAGGACAAAAATAGATAAATTTTTAACTTGTATTCATTTCAAGTAACAACTCTGCGACTCAAGTCTGACTTGAGCGTGGCAGGTTGGCCAAGTTTCATCCGAAAAGTTCAAGGAAAAGGCATTCCAGTTTTGTAGGGCGTCGAACACCGCAGCGGTAAAGTCACCAATTATTGTTTTACCACAATCAATTTCAATGGCATCTAAGCTGAGTTGTAAATGGCAAAAACCAACCAAACCAAGTAATTATAGACATACATCCAATATTCTTCGCTCGGTGACTTGCGCATTGCTTTCCACGGATCGGTGTAGTTTGCCAGGCTGAAGTTCCCTGGATCGGAAGCGGTGATGTTCAAATCATCCAACTCGAACTCTGTCAAGTTTGTCAACGGCACACACTCATTGTCAAATGTGATTACCCCTCCAGCTTGGAAGCAGTCCATAACGATGTCGCTGGAAATGAAGAAAGGTATCCTCATCTGATCAGTTTTGATTACGTTTAATTTTCACAGAACTGGCAACTTGCCCGTTAGTTGGATACTTCATTCCTTATTAAACCTTTCGAAACCAAAAGTAGATCTTTTTCACCACGATAGTCCTGCAAACTGTCTTAACCATGACGCTGTTATGGAAGACAGTAGGAGACCGTCGGGCGTCAGAAATCAGAACAAAGTACACGAGTTCACAACGATGTGTGTCTCTGGAGCTCGGTGTTTATGCTGAATAAAAAGTAGTCTTTTGCTTTTGGAAAAAGTTTGTGGATGTCTGTGAAAGTTCCAACTTTCAAGCAGCACCATTCATGCTGGTATCTTTCACAGCCCTAGATCTTATTCTGTTCCCCCTCTTTGCCAGCGAAGAAACAGTTGCCGGTACCTGCACATCGGAGTGTTCCAAGGTTGCCCGCAGCCAACCCAAGGCAGTGAGGACGTGAAGGAGATGAAAAAATAATAGAACGTGTAGGTGATGACAACTCCGTAACTGAGTGTCAGATAGAAGCACACGAGGAATTGTCCGTAACTCAGGCCTGGAGAGTTAACATGAAAAAATGAAAGAAAAGTCTCAACACGGGAAGCCCAGATCGAAGAGTTTTTAGGCAAGATCGCATTCAACTCCATCACAGTCCTCACAAGTCAGATGCAAGTCGATCAGAATGAAGTCATCCCGTTAATACAATGGCAAGCTAGATCCGCATAGAGTCTCAGGTTTACTGTGCATCTTCCATATTACTTGGGGTGGACTTGATAAACAAGGAATCATATCGATTTTTTTCCTACATCCTACTCTGCAAGAATTAAGGACTTGGTGTATTTTCATTTTGCTTTTATTGTTTTTTTTAACTCTTTGTTTGGTTGTAGGCATCATTCTCGGGGGTTCTTTTTATTTTCACCTTTTAAGACAGGAAAGGCTCGCCAGCAGGTCAGCATACCCAAACTGCAGTACTGGCCAAAGTTGATCTCCATAAAGAACATTGGCATCCCGGCAAAGGCCAGACTCAAGAAGTAAGGTATTAGGAAAGCACCTGTGAAGGGCACACGGAGACTATCAGAATGGAATGTGGTCACAGAGGTTCTCTGGTAAATGTCATTACAATTACGGTTAAAAAACGGTCCGAAAAAGTGAACAATATCCAGCAGCGGGATTTCTCCCAGTGAAAGTGGTTCC